AAGTTACTTATGAAAAGATAAAAAGTTGAAATTCTCAAACTGAACTTTCCCTGAATCGAAGTGTATTTATAGCTAACCCACCACGTAGAGAGTGGAAATAGAATGAGAAAAGGGGAAAAATGGTAAACATGAAAGATGAAAATAGTTTATTCTCTATATTCTATTCTCTCTTTTTTTTCCTTCTCTCTGATTATCATCATCATGGTGACCATGATAATGGACCTTGGAAAAAACGATGATGATGATTGGAAGATAATAGAAATAATTTCTCTCCAATGGATTGCATTCGGATAAATGATCAGGGGCCGATGGAAAGATGAGGAATCAGTGGAAGATGATAAAAGATCACTTTACATTCTGATCATTCCTTTTGTATCTTCTTACAGATTCATAACATTTATCCTTTCAGAATCACCATGAATCTTAATCATCAAAAAGGTCTGAACTGAATCTTATTGTGAACAATGGAAAACTAGCCGAGAGACTTTATCATCATCATTATCTTCATGATGATCAGACTTATGAGTCTATTCATTTTCAGAATAATAATAATAATCACCCTGAATACAAGCATAGAGAAAGAAACTCAGATTCACCATGAAAAGTATCTTCCACCCTGGAGATACACTTCATTTCATATTGATCATTATCATTGATAAACTGATTGTTAGTTGATTTACTCTCACTTTTATTACTAATTTTAAATGAGAAAGAGAAAAGTTTATTAGACAATTTCGATGATGATCATCATCCATATACATAAATATCTTATGAAGATAAAATTCAGTTCAGCTCAAGTTCCCTGAATGATATAAATAAGATTCTGCCTGAGAGACTGATTTTATTACTTTTCGTTCCAACGAATTGGTTTGCTTCTTTTTCTGTCAACTAACGAAAACTATTCCAACGAACAGGCGCATTCGAAGATGATAGAGATGAAAATCGAACAGAAAAGAGAGAAAAAAACGTGAAAAAGGAAAATGAAAGAGAAGAAGAAGAAGATGATGATGATGATGATGATAAAGATAGAAGAGAAGGTTCAACAACCGTAGATTCTGAATTCTGAAGGTGAATCACTTTTCCTTTGGATCGATGGGATTTTCTTCATTTGGTTTTCCACTTTTTCCATGGGAATCTCAGAGTTTATATTATTTTATCATTATTATATCTCTGGGTTTCAACTTGTCATGGATTCTCATGGTGTTATATCAGAGGTGGGAAGTTGCGACAGGGAGTGAAATAAATTGATAATGACAAGACACACAAACCGAGTCATCAGAATGAATCAAAGTCTTACTTTCCAACCTCTTCCACCTCCACTTTAACCCACCGACAATTGAGCTTCATCTCTCTGAGTCTCATTACTTGGATTCACTTTCATTTGGGTTACAATTCAGTTTCCTTAATAACAATCAAATTAAACTATTAATTAATTGAGTTAAATTGGTTGACAATCAAATTAACGCGACTGAGAAGCTGAAAAAAAAGGTTAAGAAATTAAATATTCATTAAATTATCGAACAATTAACTTTTAATTGTATATTTATCATTAATTGAACTTAATGTTTCAATATAATTGTTTCTAAATTGGTAAATTGCAAGTGATTATATTGTTAATCCTGATTAATATTGTTGTTATAATCATGATGAGTCTCAATGTTGAACGGAAGTTAATTTATTTGTACTTCCGTTTAATATTATAACATTATTGTGATAACATTGGTGATGATTAAAAACACAATTTTGCTACTAAATTGTTGAACCAACAATTGAGCCTGCTAATTGTTGACAGTTTTGTTAATCATTCGGAAATGATAATATAATAATAATCTGATACAATTTATGAACAAGAAAATTAAACGGAAATCAAATTGTTACTCTAATCATAGCAAAAAAAAACTAATCAAGTCTCTTAATCCAAAAACAATTTAAATCACTAAAAATGAGAAACTATTTTACTAATCAAAAATATCCAATTAATTTGTTTAAATAACAAGGAGAAAAAAAATAAACATAATGATAACCGGAAATGGAAATGATGATGAGCTCGAGAAGATGAAAATCCTTTTCTCTTGATAAAAGTGATTACCTTTGATTGTGATTAAATTGATTACTGGTAACATTTAAATTGCCATTTTGATTGTTGATTGTTGATTTTTAAAGATGCGAAAAAAAATTCTATTCATTTCTAACTTGATCATCATGAAACTGAATAACTTTGAATAGATATTATCAATTCTTATTATATGGAAATGCGCATTTGAATATTATCTTCATTTACATTTACTTTATCATCATCATCATCATCATCTAGTTGTGAATATCAATCTCACCAGGAAACCTGAACACTCAGAAACTCAGTTGATACAACAAGACCCAGAAACCAGTTCTTATCTTCAACTGACCATTGGCCATTTACCTATTTCATCAGTTCCCAGCTTTTCAATTTCATTTCAATCATGATTATCATGATGAGATGTCAAGAATCAGAAGTAAATATTATTATGAGAAAAAAGAAATGAGAAAACCTGAATCATTATCATGGATTGAGAATCAGAACAGAAAAAAACTGTTACCTAAGTAACTGGATCAGTTTAAATTGTACACAATTAAGCTAATAATTTATCTGATATTTCATTATGAGAGCAATTAAAAAATAAGCCAAAAGAATCAGCTAATCATCAAGCTAATCATTGATCATAAATTAATAATAATAATAATAATCCATATAAATGGAAAAGTTTTAATTTTCTATAGAAAATGATAAAATTAAATTGATAATAATAAATTGAGAAACTGAATTGTTGATTAGTTGATCAACACACGATTTGTGAATACATTTGAAAATCTAAATTGTTCGGGCTAAATTGTTATCACTCTGTTTGTTAAATTGTTCATTCAAGTCACGAATTCAATTTTATTCAATTCCATATTCAATGAGTAACCAGGAACAAGGAAAAAAAGTCAAATAGTAAAATAGTTTAATCCATAAATCACCAATAATCCAGACTGAAAATATTAAATAATAAATAATAAAAGATAATAAATTATTAAGGATAAGCAAAAAATTATGAGAAAAATTTTCTTCAACTGTAAACAAAATCAATTTAAAATTAGGTAAACATTGAATATTCAAATTGAGGTGAGAAATAATCAATTTGGAAGCGTTGATTTAATCAAATTGCAAATTTAACACACTGGTAATTTAACTCTTGCTAACTACGATAATCAATAACAATCAACATTGATTGTGACAACAATTTGATTATTTTTAATAATTTTGTTTTACATGAGAAAATCAGAAAGTAATCATGTTGATTGCATGGTGAATAATATAACAATCATGATGATGATGATGATTAAACCGATGTCTTTGTAAATTGATGCAAAATTATGATTACAATTACTATTACAATAGTATCTTAATCAGATTTAGTTGTGTGAATACAATGATAGTTACTCACTTTTTTTACTGGTGAGGATTTTTTGACTCTCTCTCTCTCTCTCTCTCTCTCTCTCTCTCTGAGTATATTTACTCACCTTTGCTCATTGTGTTTTTATCATGTTTCACTTTCTCTGAATGAAGATGAAATAAATTCTGAAATGATGTTCATCTTTATAATATAATATTCAATTGTTAAGATGATCATTACGATGAGAATGTTCAACTTGAATTCGTTTCCTCTTCTTCCTTTATCACCTAATATTTTAATAGAGTAAAGAAGAGGAGAAAAAAAAAGTAAAGGTAAACTCACAAAGAGAAAACATTATTCTCATTGAACCATGAACTTTTTGCTTCTTTTATCATCTTTACTCTCTTTCTTTTATCATCATTATCATCCTCTTTCTCTAGGGTTGAGGTTCCTCTATCTTCTCATCCTTCAATTTCCTCTTTTTTTTCCTTCTTCTTTTGTTGAATGATGAAAAAAAGCACGTCTCATGAACGGAAAGATACTAAGGAATCATCTTCTTCTCATTTTCCATTCTCAATGATGATTATGATGATGTGCAAGATGATAATGATGATAATCATCATCTTCATCATACTAAATAGTTATCAAATGTTGCTCCATGTTCATGAGTTGATCTTGGCGTTAAACAAGCATACGATTTGTGGACTATCATCAGAATGATTATCTTCATTATTAATCCTGTTTCCTTTTTTTATCATCATCATTTTACAATGACTTTTGTTTATTTTGTCTTCTTTGAGTCCTTTTCATCATCGTCATCATCATCATCAGCTGATTTTCTCAGTGTATCATGTTTCTTATTGCTCTTTGTGGTGGATCATCAGCCATTTTCTTCACGCTATTAATTTTAATGTTCATCTAATGATAATGAGAGTTTGATAATCACTTTTGATAGAATCAAAAATTGATAAATTCTCATTATGGAATAAGCTAAAAAGAAGATAATCATCATCCTTCTTATCTTCTCTTTCTTTTCTTCTCTCTTTTAAGAGATGAAAGATAAGATTAACTTTTAATAGTCTTTGTAATGGTTGTAAAGATCTCTCTCCATGTAAGATTATCTTCAAGGTCTCTTTCTTTTTCCTTCTTTCAAGTCACATGATGAAAATGAAGATAATATTAATTCCAATGTGTATCCATTAGTCGATAATGTTTTATATTGAATTCGAGAAGAGATCGTTTCGTTTTTCCAATTTCCAAAAATCGTTAAACTGTTCAAAAGTTAAGGTGAATCTTTGGTTGTTTCGAGTTTTTTTTTTCTTCATTCTTCTATTCTGTTTTCTTTGGACTTGTTCCATGTAAGCTCAGGTTTCCATGTTGTTCTTTGGAGAAACATATTTCTTTTACTATCTCAAGGTCTTGTAGTGGTTATTGTATCGATAGAAAAGATGGAAAATCGATTGAATAACAAACAAAATCCATGGAGATGAAAGAGACTTTCAAGTGAACTTGGAACTTTCCATTTTGCTTGATCTAAATGAGTAAAGATGAGATGGTGATGATAATTATTAATGAGAATCATGGTAATTATACAACAAATATCAATATTGTTGTTTAATATCATCTTCTATTTGTTTCAAGCATTTTCAGAATACAGAGACTCAAGATAAAACTATTATCGTAAAAAACTTCATCTTCAAGATAATTTGCAGAAGAGGAGGAGAAGAGAGAGAGAGAGAACGAAAGAGAGATCATGATGGGAGGATAACATGGTGGAGATAAAGTGAAGATATATGTTATTATCTAAGTCAAGTGAACTCCCAGTGAACCAAAAATGAATTGAAAGTTACTCGAAAAATAAGAGAGAAGGTATAATTTCAATTCTCAATTGAAAAAGTGTATCAGCACAGGTAGAAAAATAGAGAGAGAGAGAGAGATGGGAAAGTGAGTGTAGGTAAATTGGTAATAGAAAAATATAGTTGTTTGATTATTATACAAGATGAGAGATGAAAATTGATGACCAATGGTAATAAATTGAAGATGGAAGATGAAATAAAGGTAAAGATGAATTTGTAGAAGAAAAAAAATTGAGGAAAATCATTTCAACTGGTGGATAAATAATCTTTATCATCATCAGCATCTTCATCATCATCACTGTCTAAGATGATGATAACATTAATATCCTTCTCATCAATATGCTTTTCTTTATCATCCAATATGATAATCTCATCGGTGAGAATTGACTTTCGAGATTTTCGCCGATTCTCTGTCACCTCAGTCAATTCTTTCCAATCGCTATCATGGTCAAGTGAAACTCTTAGACAATCATTTGGAGTATTGGATAAAATTCTTTCAATCAAACTAAAAAGAAAAAGAAAAAGAAAATACAAAACAAAGAGATTAGAATCAATGACCTCTATACATTTCTTCTAATTTACCTGTCAATTCTTATATCTTCAAGGTCAAAGGTTATATTGCAAATAGGACAATGCCAAATGGCTCGACATTTGTTGACACTGAGAAAAGCTTCACCATCAAAACAAGCAACATGCTCACAGAAAGTGCTTATACAGGGCAATTTAATCCTTCTCTTTGTGATCTATTTGAACAAGAATACATTCAATTAAAGGAACAACAAGTAAATAATTAAAAAAAAAAAGATCCACTAATCAATTGTCATGAATGATGGATTATCCAAATTGAGAGATGATCATCAAAATTGTAAACTTACAGGACAAGAAAGGGATAGATGAAGTACTTCAGTGTAAATATCATTGGTCGATTTGAAGCTCTCACGGACTAGAAATAAGCAAAAAGGGATAATTAAACATCAATTAATTACAACTTTTCTCTTGATTATAATCCTATTGGAAAGAATAATAAATAAAATCAGAAGAATTGTAGTTAAAGGATTAGATTAACTTACCTAATCTTCGGGTCTCTTTGGTTCGCCTTCGGCCTATCAAGGTTGGATTATCAATCCATTTTTGAACAATCAATTGTTTCTCATTTGAACGTAAATGACTTTTGGTATTTTGAATTCTCATGATAGTATCTTGCATTCTGGTGATCAATTAATTGATTGTCTATCAATTTCCGGCACTTAAAGTGGTGAAAGATATAATTGTAATATAGAAAAATGTAAGAAATTTGAGAAAAATTTTAAAAATGTAACAAGAGATTCACAAGATGAGCAAATTCATTGGAAACAATTAGTTAACAGAAGGAGAAAAAAATGAATTCCAATTGAGTGATAAAACTGCTAATAATCAGTCAATATAATTACAGAGAGAGAGAGAGAAAAAAAAAGTTAATTGTTACAATCAAATGAAAAGAGATCAACACAATTAAAACCAAAGAGAAAACAAATCAAAGAGAAAAAAAATTAACAAAAGAAAAGCTAAAAAAAGGGTTTGTCTTCTCATTACAATTCTAATAATTTTCCAATAGAAAAACAAAAGAAATTAAATTTCTATGTATTAGATTAAATGTGAATTTGTAATTGGCAAAATTAGATTAACAGCTAAATTAATGAGTTATCAGTAATTCACTTTAATCAAGTAATTAAACGAATGAATAATTTGTTTGGTAAATAAAGAAAAGCAAAGATTAATTGACTTACCATGATAATGATGTTGATTGGAAACAATTAATTGGTGTTAAACAGTTGATTATTTTTTCAGGTTAATTGTTACATTAAAATGATGAGGGTTAATCAATTAATCAATCGGTTAATCATAAACAAAAAAATTAGGTGAAAATCAGTTAATAAGACAAGTTGATTATTATTGTTGATCTTTTGTTCATCCAAAGATCACAAAGACTAAACAACAACAAGAAACAAACAAGAAAATGATGATTAATTTGTTGACAATATTTTCCGTTTATTTATTGATTTCCAATGTAATTGTGATAATTGAATGTCAAGATTATTCTGCTTATCTGAATAATCGTATATTCCAACCATGTATGAAGCCAGTTTGCTACGAAGATGTTGGTTGTTTTCAACCTTTTCGCTTACAGGCCTACGTTGGCCTACCTCCGGTCGCCGCTTGCCCTCAACCTCCCGATGAACTTGGTGTCGATTTCCGAGTAATGAGATATAACAATTCCTATGAATTTTTCAATCTTTTCGGTATAACACCAAATTCATCTGTTGCCTACATTATTCCAGGATATCGTTCAGAATACACTGAACTGTTCAACATGGAACTAGTCGATGGCCTATTAAAACATTACGATCAAATTATTTTAGTTCGTTGGGATCTTGGAGCTAATCCATCATTAGTATTTGATATTCCGGTTACCCGATATAATAAATTCTTGGCTGCTGCAAATTCAGAAGCCGTTGGCAGGATAATCGGCAATTCAATTGACTATATTGTTAACAATCGTTCAGTTAATCCGGATAACATTACCCTGGTTGGCCATGGGCTCGGTGGTAATACAATTCACTTTGCAGCCGAATGGATTAAGGATAAATATAATCTCACCATCGGTAAAGCCGTTGGTAAGTTAATCAGTTTCTCTCTCTCTCTCTCTCTCTTTTTAATTTCTTTCGTTAATCAATCAGATATAATTTGATATTCATTAGGATAAACAAAACACCGACATTCAATCATCTTATGACTGATTGATTATTATTAGGATATTATGATCATTATGATCCAAACAGTTAAATTAATTGATTGTTGTTTTATTGTGGCGAAAGTTTAAATTGTTATTATAATAATTTTCACTTCTATCAAAAATATTACCTTGAATTTTCATCTTTTCCCATTGAATAACTTTGAGTATTCTCAATGTTTATTTATTGTTATCACTTTTGTATCTCACTTGAGATAATGATGAAGGACAATTGGGAGAAGATGATGATGATGATTATCTCTCATTTTCTGTAGCAATTAAATGTCACCAATTTCTGACAAAGAAAAATGTTCTCTTGTAATTAAGAGAAGGTAAAAATGATAAAGGAAAAAAATGTTTACCTTGTTATTAGAAGAAAAAAGAGAAAATGTAATTGCTGATGTTTCTTTTCTCTCTTTTACCTTTTCCATGATATCGAACATGATGATTATCAATAGTTCTGGATCCTGATGCAATTCCATTCTATTTTTCGAATAAAAAAATCTCTGGTAAAGGTGATGCTAAGGTTGTCGATGTGATTCATTCAACTTTCGTTGCTCCAGTTCCAGTTTTAGGTCAACGATTTGCTGGTAATACTAAAACTGGAGCATTAACACCAACCGGTGATTCTGATTATTTTATCAATTTTCCCGATTCATGGAATGATCAACCGGGTTGTGATGGACTCGAATTTTGTTCATCGTCTTTCTCGGTCATGACCTATGCCGCTTATCTTCATGGTTGTACCTTTGAGACTAAACCTTGTTCTGGAAATATTTTCCAACGATTCACCTCCAAGGAGATTGGACTTGATAGCACGGAAACGGGGCCACAAGGACGAATCTGTATCAAGGTATCAGAGAAACCGATAAAAAAGTGCCCATATAAATCATCTTAATCCAATCAATCAAATCAATCAAATCAATACACAAAGAGAGAGAGAGAAAAAAAATACAAATGTAATTTGTTAATCATTCAATTGAATTTACATTTTTCCCTCATAATTTATCCCAAATTGTTTAACCATTATCATGATTCATTTGTTACATATGATTAGCTCATTCTCATCATCATATATTAATTATCATCAAATGACATCAGTTCAGTTTCAAGAACCATCACCAGTTAATCAGCAGATAATGATGATTAAAACAACAAACAAGAGTAACAATCATGATGATAATTGTAACCAGAATAATGATAATATTAACTAACCAGAAAAAAAAAATATATTATACCAAATGATTAGCATTTGATTTCCACTCTCAAGGAAAAACAATCAAATGAATCCATGTTAACAATCATTTGATAACAATTGATATATATAAAAAAACGTAATATAATACAAAATGTTTAACATAAAGATGATAATGATATTTTTTATTTAATAATGATTATTGCCGTTATTATTATTATTATTGTAATCATAATCAATCCTCTTATTATTAGCAATTTAAGTAACATTTAAATGATGATAATAATGAGAGAGAGAGCAAAAGAAGAGGAGGAAAAGATAGAGAGAGAGAGAGAGAGAGAGAGAAATAGAATATGAAAAATGATTTGTTGATCATGATTAATACGAATATTAAACATGATAATATATTGACAGTGGTAACAATATAATCGTTGATTTAATCTAATCTACAATAAGGGTAACTCTGTTTTTGGTGGTGATTTTCTGCGTCCAGGAGATTCTTTGAATGGATTATGTGTTCGATATCCATGAAATTTGTATAAATGTTGATTGAAAACATTAAAGTAATTGAACTTTTTACCACAAGTTGGACAGGTGAAATTTTGATAAAAATGTTGAGCCATTAGATGATTGGCCCAAACGGCTGAATTGCACAAAGATTTGAAGCAAATGAAACATTCAAAGCTTTCGGGTGAGGTTTGGAAAGTTGATGCTCGAGGTAGGATTTTTCGTATATAACGGGTTATCCGAATGATGTCTTTGGTATCTTGGATCATTCCTTTGGTCTCATCGTCTTCATCTTCTTCCTCATCTTCATCTTCATCAACTTCACCGTCAACCTCAGTATCAACTTCATCTTCCAAACCAACATCGGAATCTTCCATCATGTTGATAACTGAATCTGGTTTGGCAACACTACAACTGCTATTACCAACACCACCTTCAAGTTTTACACCACCACCACCGCCACCACCATTGTTGATTAAAGCACCTCCACCAGCGACACCACCACTACCACTACCACCACCACCTCCACTACCTCCACTATAACCCTCATCATTGTCATCTGAATTATTTATTGAGAGATCACGCCTGGTTATGTCAACTTTCAATGCTTTCAACTGGGCACAAATTTGTTTCACTTTTTTTAGTGGAATTATAGTTTGACCAGAATAAACCAGATCATATAAAGCTTGTAGTCCATTTGAACAGATTATTGGTAATAGAATACCAGAAGATTTCTGACCATAGGAACCAATCAATTTGTAAAGCTCGGGTGATATTTCAGTTAACAAATTTTTATGGAAACCCCGACTGGATCCATCGGAAGCGTATAGTCGACAATCTTTAGGTTCACTGGGTATGGATGTTATACAATGAGAGGGAACTTCCAACCTTGTATACATGGCTGTTGATAGTGGTGGTTATTTACCAGAATAGTAGAGAAGGGAGAGAAAAATAAGGAGAGAAAAAAATAGAGAGAGAGAGAAAGAGAAAAAAAGGAAGGGAGAAAAAGAAAACAAGAAAAGAAGAAGAGAAAACAGAATCCGAAAGAGAAAAACACAAGTTTAACACAAATAGAAATCAAGGATGATTTGATTTAGAATATTGCGAAATTGGCGAATATATTCTATTAAATATAATTCTAATTAGATAACACACAATATTGATAAAAAATATAATTCTAAGTAAATTATATAAACACAACAAGATGGATAATAAATGATGAAGAAAATTATTTTTTCATTTTTTATGAAAAAAAATGAATTATTACCTAATAGATGTCGCTACTTACACAATCGAATAAAAAGTAGAACATAAAGGACATCTGTCGGATTTTCTGTCAACTAAATTCACGAACTAGTAATCGACTTGTGAAGTGAAGTTCAATTTTTTTTTGCTCCTGATGAATTTAAATTTAATCAATATTACCTATGAATTTTAAATTACAATTTTGTGTTATTATTATTCATCTTATTACATGGATCAAGTTGATACCAAAATTATGATAGATCAACAGTTATCTTAGTTTTTTCTTTGTTCCCTTAAAACTGAGCTATTATTGCATCGTAATAACTTCAACCATTTTGTTTTCTTGGTAATTTGAGGCAATTTTATTTTCTCAAACTTATACTCTTTTTGAAAAGATTGAAATTCTAATTTTATTTTATTCTTTTCTCCTTTTCCTTATGACAAACCTAATGAGTCAAACTATCTTTGGAACTGATTTTCCCTTCAAACAAACGGCACCTTTTTTAACTTTACCAAATATGAAATTAAAACTCAAATGAAATTAAACAAAACAAAAAACCTTTTTAAACTGAACGGTTAGTTCAGTGTCCGGTAGGACCTTCAGGTTATCCTGAAGAATAATGTATAATCCATTAGCCGAATGGCGCAAAATAAACGAAATTGATCCAATTAAGTTTTATTTTTTGATCTGTTCAATTTTTGATTAACTGAACATATTATCACAATTAAATTTCGATGATCAACTCAATGAGAAATGTCTACCTTTTCCCTCTTTTCCATTATTAAACAAGAATATCGCTCATGATTATGGCCTTGAGTTTTCTTTGAATTGAATTCCAATAAAATTGGACTTGATCATCTTGGATTTTACAATCAATTGACAACTTTCGTATTCTCTCCTCCATCAACATTATTGTTCTCAATGAATACTAATTGTTACAAGAGCACAAATTATCAACCAATACATAAACTCAAAATTGTCACTTTGTCTGAATAAAAAAAAAACTGAACGAATAGTTCAACGGGCCCTCAGGGCAACCTTGTTTTTAACGTATGAAAGATTAGCCAATCATCATAATAAATCAAACTTATTAGGATGATTAAAACTCATTAAATTGCTTTAACAGCATTAATCAAGTTTAATAAAGTCTACTTATGAAACTAACCAATATTTAAAGCCTAATATTCAGGCTCTTTTTGTTTATTCAAATCACAAGTTCTGTTAAATTGTTGAACAGATATAAAGCTTTGTAAACTGAGTGATTAAATTAAATTAGTTGATTACCTTATGAAGAATCAGCCAATTGCCGTGAATAAATTCTAGTGGCTTTTTTAAGCTCTCTGGCATTCGATTGACAATATCTTAATGATAATTAGTGCTTTCCATGATCATGAAAAACTCCTCATTTCAATGAATTGAAATACTCGTAGGTCTAAAATCATCCCAAGAAAAAGTAAATCAAATATCAGGCATGAGATATGCATGTGAATAATTATAAATCTCGTCTCAAAATAATTTAAGTTTTTAATTGTTTTCATTAAAATCATAAAGGGTAACACTTAAGACTAATTATCACTGACCATGTTTCATCAGGTTATCGCAGGCATTTATTGAGTATTGATTTCCGATGTTCAATTCAATCAGTACTTATCGTAAATATTTGGTTAAAATGATAAATAAGAAGAGGGAATTTAAAAAATTGGTTGATTGTAATGATTAAATCATTTAAGATGCTCAATCATTCAATCGGTTCAATGTGATAACTGATTATAAAAACTTTTCCTCTTGATTTAAATGATAAAAAAAGAGTTAATTTGTAATCATTTTAATGTTTGTTAAGTGTGTTTAGTTTAATTTATTTTCCAAATTGATTAGATTAAATAACAATTATCTTACATAGATGATCATCTTTAAGGTAACATTAATCACTTTCAACGTGGTTCCTTTGCCATTAAATCAATTACAATATCTAATTCAAGATAAATCGATGATTAAATTACAATCAGCCGAAACGATAACACCCTCGATAATATATAATCAGAATTCAGTTGAAAAGTGATAATAATAATATAAGAATTATCTGAAAATTTTTTCTTTTCTAAACAATCAAATTATCCAATTAGATTGATTAATCTTTACAATTTTCTTCAATTAAAACAGATAATGTCAATAATTGATTGTAATCAATGATTATTAAATCATCTAATCACCCTATCAACAATTAACCCTGAAGAAACAAAAAAGTTAATATAAAAATCGTGTTTATAAATAATTGAAGAAAAATTAATTCTCCACAATTAAATGAATTAATCAAAACAAAACAAAAAACAATCAGGTTATCAAAATGCAAACACTAATTATTATTTTCCAATTAATATTACAATTAAAAGATAAAAAGTAACCACAAAAACATAAACAATTGAAAATCACCCAATTGAAAACTGAATAAATATCCAATTTAATTAATCAATCCAATATATTGAATTGTTGATAAACAAAACAATCAAATTGAGAAAAGTTAATTAATCGTCACGAAAATAAATCAACTTTTTGACGAAAAAAAAAGTTTAGTTATATTATCGATCACCAGATGGAACTACAAATAGAAAATAAGTTCCCTCTAGTGGCGAACGTGATAACTAAGGGAAGTTTAGAGTTGATTTTATTTTTCTCAATCATTTTCATCCTTGAAGTTGATGATATGACGATAAAAGTGTTTTCTTAATTTTTTCTAGAAGTTGGTTAACCATCTCATCAAATGTCGTTGATAATAAATTTATTAACTTAACCAAAAGCCTAACAAATTTCTGACAAAGTATAAAAAATCATCATAATCCAGATAGAGAGAGAGAGAGATAATTTTTATCCTATCCATCCATCCAAACCATGATGAAGATTATATTTGTGATATTTGTTTGTCTTTTTAGTGAACAATTTGTTTCTATCAATGGTTATCCAAATAATATAAATAATGATCATTATGCCTCGGATGGAAGTGAAACTGAGGAAATTGCCAAAAATCATCCAAAGATTAAATCTAAAGCCCTCACCTTAGCTGCCAATGAAGGTGATACAATAACATTCCCTTGTGAAGTTGATGATTTAGGTTCTCTCTCAGTTACTTGGGGAAGTAAAAAAGGCTCAAATGTTACTCAACTTTTTTTTGGTTCTTATCGTTTTCTCCAAGATGATCGGGTTTACCTTGATGGTACTAATTTAGTGATTAAAAATGTTAAGCAAACCGATTCGGGGATTTATACGTGTAAGGTTTCAACCGATAAAGAGATCTCTGTGAATCATACGTTTTTCGTCAATGGCCGTCCTCAAATAATGAAAGAACCTGCGACTGGTAATATTACCATTGGTCAAGGTCAAACGTTAAAGTTAACATGTAAATCAACCGTTGATCCTAAGCCTGACATTAAATGGGAAAAATTAGACAGTAAACTTACTGTTAGTGCAACAAATCAGGAAACATTGACCATACCCAATGTTGGACGATTAGATTCTGGTCGATATCGGTGTTCAGCTTTTTCCTTCTATGGTAGTGATAATCATGCTGATTTCGAGGTGGTTGTTGAAGGTTTGTCTTCATTTTCTTCATTCAAACATGTTTTCCACACTTTTCCCACCTTTCTCCTTTCTCCCACCGTCTCTCTCTCTCTCTCTCTCTCTCTCTCTCTCTCTCTCTCTTTCTTACTCTCTCATGTTGTTTTCTTTTATTCCCTTAACGATTGCCTTTCTCTTTTCTCTTTCTCTCTCATATTACCCATCAATCTAATTCATGGTGATTTCTCATTTCTAACAGAGGAACCAGAAATCGAACTGCCTGAGCCTCATGTTTACACCGGAATTGGACAAGAAATTAAACTTCGCTGTAGAGTCTATGGTAATCCAACACCTAATGTTTATTTTGAAAATTCACGAGGAAATCGGTTACCCAGTAAACCGGGTGACAATAAAGAATACGTTTCAACGTTAAGTATTCGTGATGAGAATGATTTTGGTAAATATTCTTGTTATGGTTTCAATAAATTTGGTAAAAAAAGAGCTGATATTGAAGTTTCGGGTCGACCATCAAGACCAATTATTCTCAATTCGGATGCTGATTTTCCCACTTCAGGAGATGAATTTGAATTAAAATATCAAGTTACCTCCTATTCACCAATAACAAAAGTTTTAGTCACTTACAGATACACAAAGGTACGTTGATAAACCGATCGTATTTACAGTTAATTGTTTACATTTACATTTATAAGTCCGAGTTTATGTACAATTGTGTCTCTCATGTCCAAATGAACAAAAATTACACAATACAAGCTAAACTAAGGCGTGGTCATTAACACAGTGTGACATTAATATCATGCTGATTTAAAGCTTCGTCAATTATTTGTTATGTTGATCTTTTTGTTTGTTTTCACTTTTTTTTTAACTTAATTTTTGTTTCTCTTTTTCTACTTTTTTTTTCATCATCTTTTTAATTGGAATCATCATCATCATCAACATCAACATCAACATTTGGATCTTCTTCCTCCCACCTTGGTGTTTATTGTTTATCTTTGTGCTCTCGTTTTGTGATATGTGTTATATTATTGTTATTGTGCTTCTCTCACATTATCATCAACTAAATCAACACAATTGAAATTGTGTTTTTCTTTTTTACCTGTGGAAAATTGTTCCAATAGGATACGGAAAGCTTTTCAGATTGGAATACAACGGAAATTGACCCGAACAATGTCAATGGTCCTTCTTACAATTTGAAATACATTTTACAGAATATGGATCGTAAAACATACGAGGTCAGAGTTTACGCTGAAAATAAATATGGACGAAGTGAGGGTAGCGAAATATATTCAATTACTGCTGATGGAGCTAAAGAACGTAAGTTGAGATTTATAATAATTTTAAGGCGAGAAAACAAAAATTGCGATCAAATTTCGAGGTGTTTATTATCATTCCAAGCAATTTAATGCAATTATTATCTATGGTGGTGGTATGAGGGAAGGTGACGGTGGGTAACACCCATTTTTCTTGATTTTAATTTTGACATGAGAGTCAAAGTATTGATTAGATTGTCCCTTTTTTTACACTCACTGTCTTGATAGTCCTTTTTGAGTCTGTGCCTGTTCACCATTGACATATCTCACTTTTTTCCCTCCTCCTCCTTTCCTCCTTCTTCCTCCTCTCTAGCCCACCCTCCTCCTTTGCTCTCTGTCTCTATCTCTGTCTCTCTCTCTTTCCACTGTTATTATGTTCTCACTATTTTCCTCCTGGTTGTTCACTCTACCAGACACTCTCTCTCTCTCTTGGTCTAGGGCGATCAACTGATGAAGGTGACACCAGGAGGTAAATTTACTGAGAGAGCGAGAGAAACCTGAGTAAAGATGAAAACAAGAAACTAAAAAGATAAACATTGTATTAGAAAAATAGAGAGAAAGAGAGAGAGAGAGAGGGAAAGATGATGAAGGTAAAGAACGATAAACAGTGAGATGATGCGAGAAGATTAATTGAAAGAAAGTGGAAATTAGAAGTCAGAACAAAAAACTGCTCGAACTCTCGAACAGGTTGTTATTTGGTTTCGATAGTGTCAAGGGCTGGGTATTAATGCTAAAGATATTGGGTTGGGCATTTTACTTGATTACTTGGTTATAGATTTAATTAGATTGTACTAGTTAATTGTTTAAATGGTTTCAACTAAGAGTTTTTGCCCTACAGAGGCGATTCCATTTTCTTTGCTTATTCATCTCTAGGTGTTTTTTTCCAACTTATACAGATGATGATGAAGATAATAATGATGATGATGATAACTATTTGTCTATGTTTATAAATGAATGTGAGTGTATGTGTGGTGAGGCCCGTTGTTGATGGTGGGTAGTGGAGGCAAAATGGACGCGGTGGGTGGTTTTTATCTTACTTTTCTCTCTTATTATTTTCATAATAACGATAATGATTATAGCATAACAATAATGTCCATCTCACTGACCTCACTCTCTCTCTCTTCTTTATCATCATCTCAATCGAGTCCATCGGCCTAGTGGCTATATAATTGATGGTCCCACTGTCCAGTTACTCATTTGAAATGATGATATATTTCATTATAGCCAGACACATGAACCATTAACATGTTAAATTATCAGTAATCGTGTTAATCATTTCATTTTTTTTCTTCTTCTCTTGATTGTTTCTATTGATTATCTTAAAACTGATTCATTCATTTGATATTTATTTTCAATGTTACATCATTACTAAAGGTAAAATAGTTTCTCTACCTTACAATCAACATCGATTAACTTAATTTACCATTTTTAATGACATCAATAAATTCAGTTAACCATTCAGTATATTATTATCATTATAATGATCAGGAAAAACATTTAATATCATTGGATGGGCGCGGATATTAACAATTACCTTTCAACATGATTTTTCATGATTTTAACTCAATCGCTTTTGATTATCTCATCTTGTTGTTGTTGTTTCTGTTTCTTGTTTATCATCTTACCTTTTACTTTGATTTTATATTGAATTTTATGTTTAATCACAATTGATAATCTTTATTTATTATTTTGAATGAAACAATAATAATAATAAATAATTTCTGATAAATTATATGTATTAACCTGGATCGTTTTTTACAGTTACAAGGATTAACTTTTGAGCTTCCTTGAAAACTGAATCCAACAGCAACAAGATTACCAGCTAACTTAATCTCTCAACGTGTAACAATCAAATCAAATCAAGAAAAAACAATGTAACTGATTAGTTAATCATTTTCTTTTTTAGGCCAAACTATCCCCTTGATCTCAATCTTAATCTTTCAACTTTTTTTTTCAACTTTTTCATTTCTTTTTCCGTATTATCATCATGATCCTCTCATCATTCATTGGCATGATGATCATCTTATCTTCTTGGTTATTATTATTTATTATTATTGTTTATCATCATCTAGAGTATTTCTCTTACTCTCTCTCTCTCTTTTCCAGTTCATTTGATTACTGAATACTTACTATCATCATTCCTCATCTTTACTGTTTTTAGTTTTATCATCCTAATGATTTTTATTGTATTTACTGGATGAGGATACCCAAAGATGATGAGGATGATAATGAATAATGATGGACAATTGTGATTGCGTGTTTGTTTGATACTACAAAGATTGTGCAGGAAATGCGCTTTGTAACTATTGATCTAAATGGAAAAACGAAGATGATGATGAGTAAGAGGAAGATAATGAAGGAGAGAGAGAAAGAGAGAGAGCGATCACAAAAAAGAGCATAAAAAGTTACATGGACATTGAACTAGTACAAGTAGTTGAGTTGAAGTAGTTAACTTAGTATTCATTTTGCATTAGAACCCATGGAGTTGTTATTGATATATAAATATTATCATTGATTATTATTAACCAATGGTTAGTATATGAAAAATGATAATGGATTAGACATTAATATTTGTCTGTGCGTGTGTATGTATATGCATTTATATTGGTTGAGTGTTTGTATTTTTGAAGCAATTTGAATTGATGAGTTTATATAAATATTATGTTGATGATGATGATGCATAGGAAGAGGGAGAGTTTTGATAAAATTGACTTTGACAATGAATTAATGAATGAGATGAGATGATGATTATGATAAACTTCAATCAAGATTGTGAATCTTTGAATCACCAAGTCAATGTCCCCATATACTTATTGCTTCATCTCTTCACCATCATCCACCCTCAATGTTACTTACTTTTGCTGTCTCTTTCCTCCCACCTCTCTCTCTCTCTCTCTCTCTCTCTCTCTCTCTCTCTCTCTCTCTCTCTCTCTCTTTCTCTCTTTCTCTCTTTCATTCATCTCTTTCCACACCCTGTTGTCATCATCGGTACCTATCAATCTTTGTCTCACTCCTACCCATCCATCCTCATCCCCATTGAGAGTCATCCTTATCATCTTCCTCCTCCTTCATCTTTAATCCTTTACTCAAACCATTGCTCTCTCATCGACATCATTTTCCTCCCCCTTTGCGTGTATTAATCTTCCTCCTATTACATTGATATTATATTGGGTTAACCTCGAGTTAAATTTGAATTAAATCTAATTTTAACAAACTCAACAACAGTTAAAGGAAAGGTAATCAATCTATTAAACAATCAACATAATCTAAACCCACAGAGAGGTAGAAAGAGAGAGAGAGAGAGGATAATCTATGGGATGTCAGATGCACAAATTTGATTGAATACAATCATCAACAACAACAATCAAACACAAAAGCGTATTAATACCATATGCTTTTTCCCTAACAATTATCATCATCATCATTATTATGATATTATTACATAATAATGTGATAATAATGTAATAATAAACGGTCACCTAATTTAAGGTAACTTTTTTTCCTCCTTTGCAAACAAATTGATCCTTCATCAAATTTAGAATCTCAAAAAATCGCTCACTCATTCAGATCTCCTTTATCTTTATCCCTCCTCTAATCCAATGTAACATTTCACCATAATATCATAGATGTAGAGAGTATTTAAAAACGTGAGTAATCATGAATGTGTCTTTCTGTATTTAAGAAAAGAGAAAAGAAAATGCAATGACTCCTGAAAAGAGAGAGAGAGAAAGGAAATCAAGTGAGATTGATTATGAGAGAGAAAGTTAGTAATGCTTGATGATGATGATAATCATCATCATTGTAATGGTTACAGAAAATGATGTAAAAAAACCATTCAGAATGAATATGTATGTGTATTTGTGATGGAAGGTAAAAAAAACTCGGCAAACTGTCAGGTCACAGCGGGGATAGTGAATGAAGAGTGGGCCCCACCCTGTAAATGAACTTGAGGGTCAATGTAAAAAAAAATGTTGGCACAATTTTCCCTGAGAAAATGCTGTGTAATCCCATCACAAAGTGACAAGTCTCAATATCCCTCCCTCATCCCTCCTCTTGATACACATTCGGGTACCTTTTCTAATCACCACCGCCACAACTTTTTCTTACCTTTGGTAGATCTCAGGTAACACAAAAGGTACACTAGAAAAAAGAGGCTTGAAATCTTATAAGAAGAAAAAAAAAATGATCGACTCTTAAATATTAACATTTTCTTACATCAAAACTACTTTTTTTTTCTATGACACGAACACTTGAAAGTCTTTGATCTTTTTTCTTCTTCCATCAATATCATATAATAGTTATAAACTTTTCTCTCTTTTTCGAACTTTTTTGTTCTCTTCTATTTTGGTTCTAATTGTTCTCTTCTCTTTCTTTTTTTAGACTGGAAAGTCGCTGGGTCAAGTTCCTACTCTATTAAATCATCGTCAACCATTTTGTTCATTTGTTCATTACTACTACTCGCCACAATGAATGAGAATTAAACTTTTTTCAAACAATTCGACATCAATTGCAACATTGGAAAAAAATTATCGATAAAAACAAAAAACTTATTTAATTACAATTATTATATATATATAATTAACGATAATGCTTTACTTGTACATTTAATTAAAATAAATTGCGTTATAAAGTAAAATTAATTGTCAATGGCTTCTTTTTAATTGTAATTGTGTTTCCAGTTTTTAAATTGTTTCTCTTGTGACTCTTTTGAGTATGTCAGGTAAAAAATCAGGTAATAACCAATTCTTGCTTTTGATTGTCATCATTTCGTGTTAATTGTTAGTTAATTTAACTGGTTTAAGTATAATCTCCTTGGCAGTGGTCACCAATTGACCTCGATAATAATCAAGTTGATCCTAAGTGATTAGTTTAAATCACGAGAGGAAATTAAAATAAGAAAAGTTTTATCAATGTAACAGTTTGAACAATTAACGTGATATCAAGTTATTAAGTTGATTGTGTGTGTGTTTAAAGTTGTATAATCGGATTAAAATTGACAAACAATTTAATCAGATTAACATTGATTAACGTTATTGATTAGGAAGTAATTGGATTTTGTTAATTTTAAGGTGACAAGAAACTTTTTTCCTCTTCTTTTCTACTAATTGTCAAAGTTAATTACCTTTGTTTGATGGCTTTGGACGAATCGAAATGATCGTAATAATTTAATTAGGCAAAATTTAATCTCCATGTAAGCAAATCTGATGCCGATGCAACTTCTTGGCCCATAGGCGAACGGCAGGTAAGCGGATAAATTGATTGAGTCCCGATTCTCGGGTAACCATCTTTCAGGTTTAAATTGTTCAGGGTCGGGAAAGTAGGCTGGATCATGGTGCATCGCGTGAACGGGAATGGTTATCAATTGGCCTGCCCCAAGTTTAACACCACCCAATTCACAGGGTTCGGTGGTACGTCTTTCCACCCTGGGAACAGGGGGACAGAACCGAAGGATTTCCGATACAACTGCATCAAGGTAAGGCAATGATTTAACAATTTCCCAATCATTTGTATCTTCATCGCTAATTGTTGATAGTTCATCAATTAATTTCTGTTGAACAACCGGGTGTTGGGTTAAGGTGTATAGTAACATTGACAGGGTGGTTGCCGTTGTATCATGACCAGCAATTAGGAAAATTAATGCTTGATCAACAATCTCTTCGTCTGTTAATTCTTGATTGTAATTAGCGAGAGAGAGAAACAAAAAAAATGAATCAATAAAAAGACAAAAGTTTTACCGGTTGATTATTGTTGAAATTAATTAACCATCTCAATTGTACTTATATACTGTTCATCCAACTTCAATTGATTAATCAAATTGGAGTACAATTAGTAGATAAAATTTCAATTTCTCTCTTTCTCCTCTTTTCGTTGATCAATTGATTAGATATCATTGACTGGATCGAAGGTTATTTTAAGTACCAATTTAAATTGTTAACGATTAACTTTGAATTTTTGCTCTGAATAATAAGACAATTTACTTACTTCGTTTAGTTAATTGCTCGGCTTCATCAGCGATTTCTGCATCCTGAAGTAGTGAGACAAAGTCAATCCGGTTAACCTTCAATTCTTGTCTCTTAGAGATGAGACTACTGATTAACTGAGCGAAATACATGAGAGCCGAATAGTCAAAGATACTCAATTTGAATAACGATCCAATGGGCGCTAATGATGGACACTGGAAGGCGATCCATGATAACCATTGAATATTAGTGTTGAAAAGTTTTTTCGAGTTGGCAACTAAAGGATTGTTTGGATCTCGAAGTGAATCAATTTTCACACCGAAAGCACAGGACGAGAAAGTGTCCAGTGTAAATGAGAGAAGGTAAGTTTTCACATCGATTGACTGACCATTCTCACAAGCATCGTTAACATTGTTGATTAATGTATCAACGGCTTCGGTGATCTGATTTTGCATCGCTTTCAATTTTGAAGTGGTAAAAGTTGGACTACAAATAGATCGAACTCTCTTCCAAGGCTCATGTTCAAGAACGAAGATACTTTTACCACCGATTGAATTGATTCCACGGAAAAACTTGGGTAAAAGAAGAAAAAGAATAAAAAGAATAAGAAGAAATAAAATCGAGAAAATCATCTAAAAGAAAAGTTTTTCTTCTCTCTCGAAAAAAAAATCAATCAATTGATTATCGATCTACTTTTCCGACTCGAATATCAATCGATGGTTACAATTAATATCTTCATAAGACAAAATCTAAACACTTACTCTATGGTTAGGGAAAGAGTTAAACTTCTTTACCAGAATTTCCTTAACTAATTCAGCATCACCACACATGAGAACAGGCTGAAAGAGTTCATACCCACTGAAATAGAAATGATTGATTAGAATGAAAGACAAACAAAATGATTAGAATTTTGTGTTTTTTTTTCTCTCTCGCTCTCTTATATTATTAGAATCAACGAAAACAACAAGCTCAATAGACCAAACTAGCTAATTGTTTGTTGATTGTTGTCGGCACTTACCCAACAATCCTGCCATATTTACGATAAGCCTGAGTATCTGATTCATGAAATGGTTTAGTCCAACGGTTCCATAGGGATGAAATGTCATTTGGTATTCCGAGTCTATGCCAATACGTTAATTTATAAATAGCAGCGACAATTAAAGTTACAGTTAAAAATAAGCACAGATTAGGATTAACATTTAATCCAAATAGTAAAGAGGTTGACGTTAACCAAGTCATCACAATTAGCCAACAATTAACAATCGACGAACACACAAACTTTTGTAAATTTAAAACAATTAAAAACTTTTTAATCTTATTGATTATTAAGTTTAAACTGTTTTCCAATTGTAAACAACTAACTAACTAACTATTTACGACTTAATTGTTGCTAATGTGTAATGAGTATGAAACAAGATTTACTAATAATTTGTATTAATTAATTTCCCGAGTCTGTTAATTGTGCGTTTTTCTACTACGCAAGTGACATTGATGATTAAATTGTTGAATAATCTGATAATTAAGTGTATTAATTATCAACCTGAGACTTTGCTTTCATAATTTAATCAAGATTATAATGTTAATTGAGATTTCATTTCATTTTTTGCTGACGGAAATAATTTATTAATTGTATTGATTACCAAAGTCTCAATTGATTGTTGTGCCTTTTTATCACATGTTAAAGGATTAATTTTTTTTTCTTTTCCACAATCAAGTATTTAATTACAATCAAGGGAAACTGAATCAGTCACCATATCTCCAGAATTTATCGCCACTCGCTGAACAAAAAAATTGATTAATTCCTTGATAATATACTGGAGATACGGTGAAATAATTAAGAAAAACTTAAATTACTAATCGTAACAATTAATAGCAATTAAATGTTTACATTAAATGAACAGTTTGTTTGTATACCATTGAAATTAACTAATTGTTAAAGGTGCGTCTAGTCACAATTAGGGAAGACAATTACTCTGACACTTGACAATTTATTGATTACCAATTGATTTCTGATCATGAAGTATCATCATGATTACATCATGTAATTATAATTATTTTATATATTAGTTGTTAATTGTTAACAATCAGTTAACCAAGTACAAGCTCATTGATCCTTATAATACAATTGTTGTTTTCCCTTAATTGTTGATTTAATAGAAAGCTAATTATATAATATAAATTAAGATAAGTTTAGGTTTAGATTACAACAATTAAATCTAATTGTAAACCACTGATCAAATTAATTTCTCCTTTCAAAATGTAATCATAATAATATCAACGGTTCAAGATAATTAAATAATAATAAACAATTGAATTGAACTCAAACAATTTAATTAGACAAGATTTTGTTGCTAATTTTAATCAACAACACAATCAAATGATTGCCAAGTGTTCAATTTTTATAATTTAATACTAATCAGCCTGAAATTTAATACAATTAACTGTCTACTCATTTATCCGGTTAATCATTTGTTTGTGCTAATTGTTGAACAATTAACCAACAAATTAATTGTTCCAAGTGACTGATTGCTCAAAGACCCACAGATATAAACAACAATTCATATGAAAATTAATCTCATGATGATAATATTCAAATAATCTGATTCCATGTAATCGTATCTTGAATCAATATTTAATCATGATGATCACTTTTTCCTCCTCCATCACTACAACAACAACACCAACCATAAGTATCATCATCATTTATCATCCATGATAATTTATAGACGATGATAATAATAATGATAACTGTAAATGTATCAAAATCAAAGGATGAAAACTCATATATACAAAATTAACAGGCAAAGGATTAATCAGTTGATTGCAATAATTTGCTTTCTATTTGAAAAATAGTAAATGAGAGATAAACAATTGCAAAATTAATTGCAGTAATTAATCAACAATTTAAAAGCCGTAATTGTAAATATATGAGTCCAAATAAACATGGAAAACTTTATTAACATGATAAAAAGGAGGTTAATTGTTGAGGATTACGGATGAACAAAAAAAGAGTATAAATTTTAAAGGCAAAGTTTAAAGGTTAATCTTTGATTGTTGATATAATTATGTGTTCAACGTCTTAATTGTTGTGCTGATTGTGAATTGGTTAAGGTTCATATTGAACACATTAACTTGGAAACCAATGGAAATGTTAATATGTAATCTAAATTATATATATAACTTTAAATTAGTTTTACTTTGACTTTGGACTTTTTTTATTGTTGTTATTTTCACTGAGAAAACATCATCATCATCATCTTAATTATCATCAGCATCTCTCCATCCTCATCTTTTTTGCTTTCACTCTGAAGGAAAACATGTAAAAATATGTGTTCACATTTTTCCTAAGAATCCATAGTTTGTAATACATAAGAAACATGGATATTCACATAGACATTACAATCCAATGGGCACATTACATTTATCTCAATTTTTGGGTTAGTCTTTAGCCTGAAAAAAGGTCAACAGCCTGGCTTGAATTTGGAGTAACAAGAAGAGAAAAGAGAAGAGAAAATGAAGAAAATTCGAGTTTCTGTTCAACGATTCTCATCTTTTTCTCTTTCAGCTGAGAACACACAAAGATATCATCTTATCATCATCATCATCATCATCTTCATAGCATCATTTTCTTTTTCTTCTTTTACTTTTTTCTTTTTTCTTTTTCTTCACAAAAAAGAAGAGCATCAACAGCGAGTAATCAACATTTGATGTCAGTGATTTACTGATTTAAAGTGTAATACATATTAAGATGAAGGTGGAAGGTGAAGGAAGATGAATGGATGAAAAGAAAGAGAAATAGAAACATGATGATGATGATGAAGATAAGATGAGATTCATGAGGACGGTGGGTTGATTGCTTCAGAGCAAATTATGATGGATTGAAAGAGTTTCTATTTTTTCAGGTTTCGCTACTTTCTCATCAAATTAACACCTATTATCGTTTGAAGATGATGATCATCTATCTATCTCATCATTACAATTATGAAAACATGAGCCGGCAGTTGATTATTGTTCAAATTATCATCATAATCATCATGATAATCACTTGGCATTGATGAAGATGCAAAAAAAAAAGTTAAGTGAAAAATAAACGGCTGAGATTTTGTAAAAAACAACTAATTCAATTGTAATTACAATTCATTTTTGTTTTCAATTGTTTCCTCCATTTCCTTTACTTCAATTTGATTGCATCTAATTACAATTAGTAAACTGAACAAGGGATAACAATTGTAACTACATAATAATAACAACAACAACAATCTCAACGATTTAATGACCTTAAATGACCTGGGTAAATGCTGCGTCATAACCTGATCCATTACACGAAGCCAAAGGTAACTCAAAAATTGACAAATTTACCTGACATTTAATTTTCTCTCTCAAAAGATGAAGATGATGAGGATGATGGAAGAGAAAGAGATTATTTTGCTTTTCTTTCACATTTACCTGTAAATTTTATGACTCTAATATTATCAATTTCACCTTAAAGGTTATCTCATGGCTTTCAAAATGATGATTATCTTTATAAACAGGAATTCATAGTTAACCTCTAACCTTGACACTGACCTTCCGATTATTTAAACTACAGCAAAACCTTTTCGAGATTAATTTAATTGCATTACCGCTGGTCAAGTATAATTAACAAACAGTTAAATTGTTAAAGGTAAAAAATAAACGTTGACATTTGCAAATCTCTTACCAAATGAACACAAATTATTCATCTTACCTGTAAGTGCGTTGGATGGGATTCATTTAGGAGCCTTTTCAATTTACTATCCTACTCATCCTCATCTTCATCTTTATCCTCATCCTCGTCCTCATCTCCCTCAGGTCTTATCTGATTATTTATCTCCCTTTGCAATCAAATATATCGCAGGAAATTATCAATCCAAAGATACAACTGGTTCCTTTATTTTTACCTGGAAAAAGAATCAAGAGAAAAACTTTTTTTTTTCTCTTTTCATCTTCTCACGATTTTTTGTTTACCTTTGCTTTTGTTACCGTCATCTTCATCTCCATCTTCATCTTCATCTTCATCTTCATCCTCATCAACTCCCACTTTGACTCTTCCACCCCACTCCAACCCTCAGCCCTCCTCTGCTTTTGTTAATCTTTAATTTAATGTTGATTATCAACTGATTTCATTGCAATTTAAATTGTTGCCTTTTTTCAATCAGAAATTGAGTTATTTAACCAATTATTACAATTCTAAATGATAATCATCATCATTATTTACCTCAGAGCGATATCTTCATCTTCATCTTCATCACAATCAAATCAATCTACAAACACTTTGTTAAAATCTTAATCTTAATCTTTAATTGGTTCCCCTTTTTTTTTGTTAATTGTCTCAAAACAATCAGTCTCAACAATTTAATATAAATTATCAGTGAAAATTAGTAACTAGTTAACTCATTATTTAGATTGAAGTTAATTAACTTTTTTTTTCTCAAAAAAATAAAATTATTTTTCCCAATTGCTTCATGATAACAATCAATGTAATACATAAACTGTAATACAATTAACAAGTTTAATTTAAACCTCATGAAATTACAATTACACCAAAACAATCAATGAAAATAATCAAACTGAATTTAATTTATTTCCTAAAATAATAGAAATGGTGATCAAGTAATCAACATCAGGAACAATTCAATCAAACAAACAATCAACAAGTTACAAGAAAAAAAAACAGTAATAACAATGAGAAAAATGTAAACAAGATGATTAAGTTGATTGTTATGATTAAGAAGATGATGATTTCAATCAATCAAAAAAAAGTGAACCTCAACTGATTAATGTCATGGTGAAAATTTTGTCATGTAAATTCAATGATTATGAAAAAAAGGATGACGATGATGATTTGAACATTAATTTCTCACAAATTAAGTTAATTCATTTGGGAAAAAACTAAATTTAACTGACCAATTGTGACCTTTCACTTGAGTGACCATTGGCTAATCTCACCTTTAATCAAATGAATCAACTGATGATAACAACTGTTAACCGACTGGAAGCAGTTAGTAGTTACCTTTGGGCCGATGTAATGAAAATATATCGATAATCATTTGTCCAGTTTAGTTTTTTTGAGTGGTCACGATAAATCACTTCGAGGGCCGTGAGGCCAATGAGGCGTGTAAATGGTTTTCCCATTGGCCCATTGGAACCACCAACTAATCAACTAACTAATAACTTAAAATCCAAGTTAATTTAACTTGATCATCTTTTAGGTTAATAAACATTAACCTTGTTATCCAATGTTAACAGAATAACTTTTTTTTTCTGCTGCTAAATATTATTTTTTTTTTATTGGATTGAAAGTTAATCATGATTAGGTTAATGATGATGATCAGGATTAACTTTGTTTTTTAATTAATGGTCACAGAGCTTTGAATTAGTCTCAGTTTTAATGA